TAAAATCTTAGACAGTTATGGAAGTTGTAGGTATCTTGATGCATGCTCAGTCATCCAGGTGAGGAAATCTGAAAAAGTTGAGTCTGTTCATCCGGCCGTAGCGTTTTCAGTCCAAGTGACTCATCCAGGTGATCTGAAGAAGTCTTCAGAAGAAGAGTGATGAAACGTTTTTCCTGAAAATGCTACGCCCAGATGAACACAATCAACTTTTTACGATCGGTTGTAGGTAGTTCTCCTGTAACCCACTTATGTTAAGAAAACTGTGTTTGTACACTGGTTCCCTGTTAATTTCCTGTCAGTAAATAAATAATAGCCACTGTGTTTCAGAGGAATGGCTGCCAAAGCTGAATCTCTTGATATTGATTCATGGTGACATTTTCTAGTAAAAGTGGACTTTGAAATTCAGTGTAAGGCTATTGATATTGAAAGGTAGCATTTGGATGTGAGCACTTATTTAAGAAATGCCTGACCATATAACAGCCCAGTTACTGCAGTTGTACTGGTAAGAGCTGTGCTGGTTATTATCAGCAGGAGCTGAATTGTTATGAAAAAGTGTGACACTACAATGCAGCACCAATGGAGAACTTGTGCTGTCTCCTTCAGCGTGACCATACAAAGTCATAGTTAGCCACAGTTTACTCATGTTCTTGTAAACATTAGGCTCGCAGGTCTGTCCCGTCTTCCCGTGTGGTGATTCAGAGCAGGTTTTAAATGGGAACATAACTGTCACAGTTGTGTTATCATTTGTATTTGTTGGCAGGTTTATTAATTTTTTAAAAATTAATTATGACATTTTTAATCATTACTTACCAACAGTGTGCGGCAAGGAAGCAGCATGGCATGTAGAGGACCAACTCCTTTAACTCACATATGGTACAGACTAATCTGTGTAGTCACAATGTGAATTCAGAACTTTCTGCTAATACACTGAACGTTATTGTGCAAGAGTAATATGAATACTGAATAAACCACTTTTACCACTTTTTCTAAGATCATACAGATAATCTGATAAGTAAATGGGGGGGAAATATGCTGGAGATTCCCTGATGATGAGTGTATTTGCAGCTATATATGTGTGTGTGTGTGTATATGTATATATATGGGTGTAGCCACTGTAATTTGACAAAATTACAGTTGCTACACTGTGCTTTCATTGGTTAAATGAGGTCCTAAGGGGTGTGTGTGTGTTGTGTTGTTTTGTTTTGTTTTGTTTTGTTTTTTTAATCCGGGTGAGCCATGGGATAGATATAAATGAGAAACAAAGAGAGAGCAACTTCCTAATCACAATATAGACCCACCTCAAAACATATCCTTTCACTGAATGTTTTTCCTACATAAAGAAATTGGTTGATTTTGATCCAGCTTCATCCTCATTTCTGACTCTAATGTGGACCATAATTTACAAAATGAACATTGTTAAATTCAGTAAAGTTAAAACCAGCAACTAAATCAGTTGTACACCCACCTCAAATGTCACAGTCTAAAGCCAAGCCATCTTGTTTTTCTATAAACAATCACTGAGCATCACTGTCTTAGAATATATTTTAGTTTCAGTAGTAAAACCAGTTGAATGTCAGTGATGTAGAGTAGCAGAAGCCAGCATTGGAACCCTGAAGGTTTAAGCTGTTTTGGGTTAAATTACCAGCGAAAACTTCAAAAAGTGCATTTGGGTCAACTTTAAGGACCATATCACCATGTGCGATGAGTGGCTGATCAAAAGAAGTTATAGCATATGAAAGGTCCCTCATTTATCTTTTGATAGACTCATCTGCAGCTTTTTTCCATAATCATCATGTAGTTTAAAGCATGTTACACCTTAACTGGATCTTCTGTAGCAGATGAGATGTTTTTTTGAGGTTACCACTAACATAAATCCTTTGAAGTCCCAAATATTGTCATAGTGATCGGTGTTCAAACTTGTATGTAGGACATGCTCCTATGCCAGTTGGCGTTCTATCATGTTTTACAGTTGTGAGAAGCTGCTTAGCCACACAGTCTGTTACAAATTAAGCCTTCACACTGTTTAGCTTGAAGCTATCAGTTCTTATCAGCTGCACATGTTAATGTTCTATCAATACTATTGAACAAGTAAGGGCCTTTCCCATTCAACAGTCAGACACTGGTTCAAATAAAACTGTTAAGTAAGTGTTTCTAAATAATTCAAACTAAGCAGTAAGTTGTCTGTCTGGATATTTAAACCCAGTAGCTTGTTAATAAATGCAAAGGCTATGTTAAATTAGGTAATGTATCCTACACTGTTGTCATTAGCTCAAAGGATCTTCAAGTCTCCTAGTGATCTAGGTGGAAGGAAACTTTTGTTCCTTTTTGTAGGTGAACCTGTCGCTCAGCAGTTGGGTGTTGGCTGTAGCTCTCTGCTGCTTGCTCTTTCTCTTAAATTTAATGTAGACAACTAAGACATAAATGCATATTTAAGGAAAGACCAAATGAGTCGCGAGTTCAGAATAATATTTCCTTCAGGAGAGATGTGTAAGCCATGTCATGCCCAAAGATTAGCAACACAAATACCAATGCCTTTGACAAAAGGAGGCCCTTCAAATCTGTCATCTCTCTGTAATTTGTAGTCGACAGACAGAGTTGGCCTTCAGAAATGTCGGGGTGGAGCTCAGTCTTCACATCATGCTGGATGTGTTTCATGTTGAAACATTTTGTCCGTCTTGCCACACAGTCTTGTTTGTGTCCGAGTTTTAGTTGGTTGTAACTCTGAAGAGAGATTGTTTACTGATCAACTGAAAGAGTGAGCTATAATCTGTTGTTCGTGACTGCAAAGATTTAAAAAAAAAAAAAAAAAAAAGTCACACTGCAGTGCACTTTTTCTGCTAATGTCATATTTTGTTTTTGGTTTGTTTGTTTTTTACAGAAATCAGAATTTTAACTGAGAAACTTGCTTTAAGTCGGTCAGTATTTCCGATATAATGGGAAGTGGTTATTTTGTGGTTTCCCGTGCTCTCTGACCCACTGCACAACAGCAAACATACATACATGCACCTTTCATATCAAAACTTGTCTTACATAAGTGTTAAATGACCTTTCTCACATGAATAGACTTTGATCCCTTGCCTATTATCCTAACACTATCCAAACAGACTATTTTGAGTCACAACGATTGGATTTCCTTTAAACAGACTATTTCCTTAGTGTTATCTTACTGTGAGTAAAACACTGAAAATTGGTTTGTGAGTTTGAGGATTGGGCAGACAGTCAAGAAGTGTGTCGCTGGAGATTTGATAACGGCACAGATTCAGGAGGCGGTATGAAACAGCCTCACCAAATATGGGAATGTACATGCATGTGGACACCCTTAACTCTTTTTTTTTTTTTTCTGGTATGGGTGGGGTTTTCTGATATACATTTTATTTATTTTAAACCAAAATGACAAAACTAATAAACAGACAAGAAGAAATAAAACTAAGTTGCGCTCAACAGTTTGATTTTACTCCAGGGGTTGAATTCTTAAAATCTGTCACTAAATTGTTAAGGAGACTAGTTAGAGTGCAGTAGGATTCTCTGCACATCATGTTTCTTTGTTCATCTTTATAAATGCACATTCACACCTTTTCTTGATCTCATGATGTTAACTACAAGCTTTTTTTTTCTTTTTAAATACTTCTAAATGAATACTAATGTTTATTTAGTGTCTTATAGTTTCTATATCTTGTGTATATACAGTTGTTTAATTTAAATTGGGACGAGTTACATATTTCACACTAGCTAAAATCTTGATCATCTCAGTTCTGCTTTTTTTTCCCCCCCACTTTTGCTGTGTGGTTAGTACACAGTGTGGTAGAAAGGCATCTGTTTAATCAACCACAAGTTATTCCTTCCTAGTTTACATTCTCTGGTATGGGCAGCTTGAAATTTCGTCATGCCTGCTAGAGTCATTACATGTTTTCTGTTTAAGTCATTATGAGATACTTAGACAGTAAAGCCTAAGAGAACACTTCAGTCTTGTTCTATCTTCCTACTTTTGTCGAATTTCATTAGTAAGCCTGAGTTGGCCTAAAAGCATCCAAACACAGTCCGCCTGATACAGTCAGGAAGTTGATCCATGGAAGTGATGATGAGCTGGCAGCTGAGGCCAGCTGAGTGTGGGTGAATCAGCTTTCCTTATTTAGGATTTTCAAAATGGGAATGGCTCCTCCCTGCTGCTGCTTTCATCTCATGGTAAAGACAGAAGCTCAACAACATATGATGGGATAGACATTAAAAGACTGTCATGATCAAGACTTAAAGCCTGTTAATTCTTTGGCAAGTGTTTTAGACATTTGACCCCCAGATGTCCGTGAGTTTGCAAGTTTGTGTTGTAATATTTACTCCAAATTTTTCAAACTAATAAAGCTGAACTAAAAATTACATTTTATTAAACAATAAAGTGTCAACTTAAATTAGCTAATTTAGGTTTAACTAAGTGCAATGCTGTAGTGCCATAGAAGCTAATGTATAGAATAGAATAGAATTCAACTTTATTGTCATTGCACATGCACAGGTACAGGGCAACGAAATGCAGTTTGCATCCATCCAGAAGTGCTTTAGTGATATAGATATATTACAATATATATTAGCAATAATATAGATATGTAAGTATATTACAGAAATGGGTCTATTATGGTATGTTATAATGTACACTGTATGAAGTATGTTGTGAATATTCTATAACTATAAGTATGTACAGCTGTGATGAAATTAAATCTGAAACCTGGTATGTTTTTAAAAAGAAACCCATCTTCCTGTATTTTAGGCCACACAAGTTTCAGATCTCACTGAGTTTGAATGTCTTTAAAGTTTTTTTTCTGTGCCACATTCAACCTCCACAACCACAACAGCACATGCCAGCACCTTCCTCTTCCTCTTTGCTCTCTTAGAATTTAGTATGTTTGTAAAGCCGTTTCAGCATGTGCAGCTGTTGTAAAAATGTGTCCAATGTAGATGTTTTAATGTCATCTATCAGTGACCTGTTTTGTTTTCTCTGTTTTATTTTGCAGATGGACCTGAGGTTACTTTTAATAGCAGCATTATCAGCAGCCCTCAATGGCAGCTTGGCACAGCAAGGTAGGAAGTTAAAGTTCCCGTTTTGCTCCTTTTCTTATCTTAACTATTAATTATAATCTAACATACTGCACAAGGTATTTTCATCCCTTTGCAGTACAGCCACGAGAGCACTAATTTACTAATATTTGTTTTTTCATCCTAAGAATGTGGAACTGTTTCTCTCAGGAACCTGTTTCAGGGGACTAAACGGGTCAAAGTTTGCTGATGTAGCAACAGCCTTTTTTTTTTAAATTTTTTTTTTATTTTTTTTTTTACATGCAGCAAAACCGAGATACAAGGCCACATGTAGGCTTTTGCAATCTTTTAAAAAACACAAGCACTCACACAATATAACAAGCAGAGTGAAGCCTGTTATATTTTCCACGAGTATGTGAGGGTTTGCTTAGGCCTGCGTGACATAAATTTCATAATTACAAAGTGTGAACATGAGGCACTGTTTGCAGACTCCTCTTCAGAGACGTTATCGTCACATGCATTGACAATATAAAAGATGGGCCTAGCCACAGAGATGTCACCCATCAGTTTTTTTTTAACCTAAAGGTGACGAGTAGGAGGCGCATCTGACCTGGCATGCACACCACTTAGCTAAGACCCTGAATAGTCTTTGTTTCTGACATTTAGAATGACATAAAATACGCAAAATGGATTTAATGTTTTTTACTTAATAGATTTCCGTAGGATACGGTATTTTTTGGAAGCCACAAAAGTCACCCCTGCTGGGACGTATGCATTGGTTTAGCCTTCCTCACGGTGTGCTGTTGATGATTTATTCCAGTTGCTCAGTTAAGTAACTGAGTATCAAAATATACATATTTGGTAGAAGGCAAATTTCCTGGCTTGGTAGTGTGCACATAAGGAAGGTGTTAAGTGTGCATGTGGTCTTTTTTCATAACAATCTTCTGTATTATGACTGACTTCCTGTCCTCCTCATGGAGCATCTCTGTATTAGGTGTGTAGAGTTTAACTACTGCAAAACCACTCCCACTGGCACAGAATCTCTTTCCACTTGATCACTGCCTCATTGATCTATATCTGATTTTTATTTTTGACTCTTCCTTTGTTTCTGCTATTCTTGATCTGACATCTGACTGGGTTTTAAAAAATAGTGGTCCTTTCTTAAACAATTAGCTTCAAGCACAGAAGTACTAGCCTATGAGTATGTACTTCTTTTTTCCATGAAAACTGCCCTGTAAGAAGTCTTACAGAGGTCAGTAAAGTACACAGACCACCCAAGGACCACCAAATAGTTCCTGAAGTAGAAATGATTTATTGTTACACTTTCTTTTTCTTTCTTTTCTTTTGCTCTTGACACACATTATGAATGATAGTGATAGAAAAGTTTTCACACTGGCTTGTTCTCATGCTTTTTCCCCTTTCAAATCTTCATTCATGGTTTTATGACTGTTAGTCCTTTTGGCCAACAGTTGGAGTTTTTTGTTTTATGGAGTTAGGTCATTACTTGGTGAGTTGTCTGGAGCTTTTCCCAGCATGACTCAGTTTTCTGGTCTGGGAGGGGGGAAGGGAGGAGGAGGGAGGGGGGGTGCTTTCCAGCCAAAAGCTGCTTTGAGTTAGTGAGCTAATGGAAAAGATTGTATCATCTTGGCTAAAAGGAACTTGTGTCGTCTCTTTCAGATGGAAGCATATGCATCAAGGCAAACGCGCAGTCATGTGGGGAATGCATCCAGGTCTCTGAGATCTGTGGATGGTGCACAGATGAAGTGAGTTGGATCAGCAAAGCTGTGTCAAAGCTGTTTTATCACATGAGTGAAAAAATATCAGAGAGCTCTTTATCAGTGAGGAAAGTTTCAGTTTCCTTGAGCTGCACAAAAAATGATGAAAACTGTAATATCTGTCATTGTCACCATTATTAAATAGGAGTACAAGACTGGAGTCATTCTGCAATTCAAAACAAATGAAATAGTTCAAGTGACAAAATGCAATAAAATCCATTTAATTAAATTAACTTTCACCTTTGTTTATATGAATGCGTGCATGTAATCTGTACTCATCCTGTAAGCAGTATAAGTACTCAGGAGTTAAGCGATTAGAGACTTTTTGTTTTTCACCCAATGGCAAGTAAACCACAGTTGGTCCATTAATTGTAAACAGCAGTGCTGCTCCTGCTGCTGCTTCTTCACTGGAAACTTGGTCAGGATGAAGCTGCTTAATTAGATGTTTAGTGTACCTAAGGCGGATTTTCTTGCTGTGGTTGAAATGCAAACAGACCACAGTATGAGGAAAAGACCAAAAACATGCATTTGGAATTAAACATTCATGCACAGTAACAACAAATGTAAATGAAGTTCTTTTTATGCTGTGTCAGTGACGTTAACACAAGCAAGTAGAATTTTTGTTTACATTTATACTTCGATTGTAACTAAAAATGGATTTATAATCCAGCGTATATTTAAGTTGGTACACTAGACACAGAGTGGGGCATCAGGAGCTGTTCTCTCTGCCCCTCAGTGGCACAGAGGCCAATCTTTAACCAGCTAGTTCCCTAGTATAAAGTCTCAGTGGTATTAGAGTGGGCGGACATTTCCTGTCTTCTGCATGCTCTGTCCAAGCAGCTCCCTCGCCTTATCAGAGGATACAGAGCATTTCCATTATTTCAAATACCTCTGAAGCAGACTATTTCCTGCTTTGCGCTACTTGTGGATAACCGTGGAAAACATACTGACCTGATTCTCTTAAAACCACATTACATTTATGTATGAACATGGCTGTAGATTCCACTTCTACTGTCACCTGACTTCAGTGTACGGTTATAACCAAGTTTAGGTGAGAGACTCTTAAAATAAGTGAATTTATCTGAAATGAAACAGGGGGGGAAACACTGACTGATACCCGTGAGGCAAGATTCACATGTATGTGTTTAAGGGCTCATGTTCACTTTAAGCAAGGTTGTGGGAACACAGATCAACAAATTCCTACACCTGGTTAGCCTTGGATGTATACATATGTATATGAAACATTTTACATTTCTGTACATGTTCAGTGCAAAAAGAGAGAAATTAAAGAAACTAGAGAAACTAAAGGCAAAAAGAGCTAGATTGAGCTGAGTTACAGCTTAACCACCCAGGAAACACAGACAGGCTTTAACCTGCACCACATTACAAACAACAGAAGAAGAACAACCCTTAAACTGTCCAGTTTTGTTCTGCACAGAATAAAAACACTGAAACAGGGAAAAAATTAATTGATTAGATGGAAAGGCTGAGTTTTATTGGAGAGGAGGGCCAACTATAGGAAAACGGGTTTATAGTTAAGGTGAGCCTTTTAGTAAACTGTTGAAACCATGTCAGGGTTAAATGCTTTTTGTTCTCGTCATGTGCCAAGACAACTGCATTCCTGTTAAATCATGTCTGCTGCTCTCTATCAGCCTGCTGATATCCACCCCTGAGCTTATGAAACCAGGCCTCGACTTCAGTTTGTAGTTGAGTGAAGTCGTTTGGAGCACCTAAAGAGATCTCTCTTTAGAAGAAACGCTCTCTCGCAAAGTAGCTCTGCTTTAGAACTCATCAGATTATGTGCAGCTAGATGCAGGCAAAAAGAAAAAGAGGTGTTTTTATGTCATGAGGTTTTGGAAATAACTGAGTCAAAGCACTGTTTTCGTTTTGACTGGGTTCATTGTCTCGGCTTCTCCTCGACTGCTCCTTGTGGTGTCTCATGTGCATCCAATCTATATTCTCTGTTAGGCCTGTCAATCATCTGTTTCTCCTTTTCTCTCATTTTCACGAGTAACAGATTAGCCTTATCTTATGTTTCATTGCATACTTTGTCATTTCAACGTTCGTGAGATTTGTATCTGCAGCACTCGTGCTCCAAAGATTAGTCTGTTTATTAGTTAAAATAACCAAACAATTTTGTTTCACTAAATGAGTCTTTAACCTTTTATACTTGTAAAGTGACACATTTAAATCAGTGTCATTAAAAACACTGACATTGAGGCTCCAGAATATAAGGTGCTCGATGGTGGATTGAAGCCTGGTAGAAAAATGAAAGCCACTAAGCTTAATTTTGGAAAATTAGATTTTAGAGAGAAAAAAGTAAACAAATTAAACAAATTCAGTGAAAGGGGGAAAAAAAAAAAGGGAAATCCTTAATTTGAAGGGTCTGAAATGGTAAAAGCTGTGAGCAAGGGTGTGACATGTAGCCTCAAAACTATATAAATAAAACGCTAATGTGGACGTGGAGTGTTTTTAGACGAAAGCACAGTTTTCAAATTTACCCGGATCAGTGTAGATGTAGAGCCATAGGAATCCCCCAGCAGCCTACACCTATTGCAGCATAACTAAGGGAGCATTTAGATTCACCTGATCCAGCCCTAACTATATGCTTTAGCAAATAGGAAAGTTTTAAGCCTAATCTTAAAAGTAGAGATGGTGTCTGTCTCCCGAATCCAAACTGGAAGCTGGTTCCACAGAAGTGGGGCCTGAAAACTGTAGGCTCTGCCTCTCGTTCTACTTTTAAATACTTTAGGAACAACAAATAAGCCTTCAGTCCGAGAGTGAAATTCTCTAATGGGGTGATATGGTACTATAAGGTCATTAATATAAGATGGGATCTGACGACCTTCTTTGTGAGGACCAGGATTTTTGAATTCAAAATCCTGGTCTTCTGCCACATACAAGGATGTATTGTTATTCATTCTTTCACTGATTAGGTTATTGCGGCAGCGTGGTTTTCCTTTCACAATACAACCCAAAAGGAAAACACAAGCAATTTGAAGAAAATTATCCCGGTCTGTGGTGGGAAAGTCATTTGGAATAATTCTCTAATGGTCTTTTCTTCTTTTTGCAGAAGTTCCTCTCAGAGGGCGAGTCCAAATCAGCTCGCTGTGATGATGTGACCTACCTGAAGAAGAAAGACTGCAAAAATATTGAGGACCCCCGTGGCAGCACTGAAATTACCCAGAACAAAGATGTCACCGTTCGCAACAAGGATGGGAACGTAAAACTCAAGCCTGAGGAGATCACACAGATACAGCCTCAGAAACTCAAAGTGACGCTCAGATCTGGTAAGCAGGCGTATGCTGATGCTATGTTCCTGACTGTGTTTACATTTATTAGCTAGCTGTTCAGCATCGATTTCAGTGTTTTCACCGACGCCATCTTCGTATTTTGAAACCAGATGTGATGAGTGATGGCGGGTCTGACTGTGAAACCAAGGACACAGCAAACTCATGGGCTAACATTTGTGATTAGCAAGTCAATAGCCAGTGAACGTTCCCTGGATGATAGTAGTGGCCATAAGCTACTGCATGATTAATGTGGCAAAATGTTATGCCAGATGCCCTTCTTAATGCATCGTCAGGGGATTTGTGTGCTTCTGGGATCAAACTTGAGATCTTTTGCTTCTTAGGCAAATGCATAAATCACTGTATTATGAAGGCTCAGGTCTAGAAACTAGCGACTGAGCCCAGAGTTTGCTGAGGTCACAGAGCTAGAAGTCACCTTGAAGTCTTTTTTTTAACCAGAGGAATATAGATGTAAATATACATAACTTTCCCTAGGGATCAATAAAGTATTCTGATTCTGATATCCTGGTTGAATTTCTTTTACTCGTCACAGTTAAAACAGCTGTGTAAATACCCTAACGTAATTAGAGATTGTGTTATGTTAAAAAGGCTTTCAATATAGCCTGAACTGTTGATGCTTTGGCAGTTTGCTGAAACTGTTGTCAGGTCAAAACAAAAGCAAATTTTTATTTGGAGTAAATATGTTGATGGTTCATAATTGGTGTCATGTCAAAGCAGTTTAGATTTAGAAGCCGTTATATTTGTGTCAGTCTCACCTTTAGCCACTTTAAAGCCAGTGGACTGGAAAAGATAAGAAATTTATAAGAATTATTTTAATAATTTTATCAGTTTGAAGAAGCTGGCATGATGCAAACTTAAATTTCCAAAGATGGTAAAATGAATTTGAGACCACCCCCCTTAAATTATCTTTAGTTTCCAACCGTTTTGTATTTAAGTGTAACTCTGGTTTTCCAGTAAAAACAGGAAACTTGTCGTTAGTCTAATAACTAACAATGCTCTGCTTTTGCCTTTAAGGTGAGCCACAGACTTTTGACCTGAAATTCAAGCGTGCTGAGGATTACCCCATCGACTTATATTACCTCATGGACCTCTCGTTCTCCATGAAAGATGATTTGGAAAATGTGAAGAACCTTGGCACTGATCTCATGAGGGAAATGCGGGAGATCACGTCAGACTTCAGGATAGGTACGGTTAAAAACATGAAACCCAATAAATGTCCTTCAAAACAGCAGAAAACCCTCAGCCTTCCAAATGAGTTTATAATCCCAAGTTAAGAAATGCTCTCCTTTTTTGTTTCGCCTTAAGGTTTTGGCTCCTTTGTGGAGAAAACGGTCATGCCTTACATCAGCACCACACCTGCCAGGCTAATCAACCCCTGTTCCAACAACGAGAACTGTACGAGCCCCTTCAGCTACAAGAACGTCCTGAAGCTCACCAGCAACGGAGACAGGTTTAACCAGCTGGTCAGTCAGCAGCAGATCTCAGGAAACCTGGACTCTCCAGAGGGGGGGTTTGATGCCATCATGCAGGTGGCAGTCTGTGAGGTGAGCGTTTAATTAATTAAGCTCTTTTTTTTTTTGTGTGTTTTGTTTTTTTCCATTCTTCTGTGCCTGCAAAATGCATAGAATACAAATAAGATAAATAAGATAAATAAGGATATCTTCTTGTTTTGATCCCAGGAGCAAATTGGCTGGAGGAACGTGACTCGTCTGCTGGTGTTTTCCACTGATGCTGGTTTCCACTTCGCTGGAGACGGCAAGCTGGGCGGCATTGTCCTCCCCAACGATGGGAAGTGTCACCTGGAAAACAACGTGTACAGTATGAGCCACTACTACGTATGTACCATCATGTCTTTAACACTAACAGTAAATCCAGGGAGAGCTGACTGAGAATGAGAGCTGTTATATGTTCACCTTTTTTAATAATGGTCTCAGTTTTATCGTCTGTTCATTAATTGTATCTTCACATGACCCATATTCTTTGTTAATAGTTTGTTTTGTATGTTTAACAGGATTATCCCTCTATTGCTCACCTGGTCCAGAAGTTGAGTGATCACAACATTCAGACCATCTTTGCTGTAACTGAGGAATTTCAGCCAGTTTACCAGGTAACCTTTGTACATTGTGTTTGAAGACTATTCTTTTTCTTTTTTATGCAAGCAGAACCCACACTGGGACGCTTAAAAACCCTGTATTATTATGTATATATGTCTATCAATATTTATTGTTTTATTATATAATGTTTTTTGACTCTCGTTTCTCTTACAGGAGTTGAAAAATCTTATTCCTAAATCAGCTGTCGGCACGCTTTCCTCCAACTCCAGTAATGTCATCAAACTCATCATTGATGCCTACAATGTAAGTTGAACTGCACAATCATCACGTGATCTCAGACTCTCCCTGTTGATCGGGGATTGATTTAGCTGATTGAGTTATTTCTCATGTATACATAGCCAGGCATTTGTCATCTTCATCTGAGCACGTGAAGATTACAGGTAACAAAATGTAACATAAACGTAAGAGGTCACATACAGAGAAATTCAACGCAAATAATCAGCCAAATTTAGGGAACTGACAACTGGTGCTTTCCTCTTCACCTGTGTGTATGAATACTTTCCCTCTTCCATCATACTCAAACCCAAGTGACAGCTATGCCTTAGCTGTGCCACTCCCAAAAATACATATTAATTAATTATAAGGAATTAATTATTACTTGAGTAGCAGCTTATAACTAACTTATCTGTAGAGAGACAAAGTTTAATAAATGTTTGATTCTTATCTTTTTCTTTTTTGCAGTCTTTATCATCTGAGGTGATTCTGGAGAACAGCAAGCTGCCCGAGGGCGTTTCTATCTCGTACAAAGCCTTCTGTAAAAACGGTGTGCGAGGAACAGAGGACAACGGCAGGAAGTGCACTAACATCTCCATTGGCGACGAGGTAATAGGATCCAGGTTTGGTTTCCATTTGCTGACAAGTGTAAAACAAGCAAACCAAAAATGATATCTAGGAAAAAGAAAGAGTTTAGATACTCTGGGAAGAATGTATTGAGTCAAATACATTTATTTGATGATCTGAAACATTTAAATGTGACAATCATACAAAAAGAAAAACAGTTACCTTGATGGCATCCTCCTCATACGGTGTGATTCTCTCCGGTTTCCAGGTGTCTTTTAAGATTTCTATTGAATCTCAGAAGTGTCCTTCAGGTGGCAAGCCTGAGGTCATTACAGTGAAACCGCTGGGCTTCAATGAGGAGGTGGCGATAGAGCTCAATTTCATCTGTGACTGTGAATGTGCCAAAAAGGGAGAGCCCAACAGTCCGAAGTGCCACGGGGGAAACGGGATTTTTGAATGTGGAGCCTGCAAGTAAGTATTGATGTGCATTGATGCAGAGAGATGTAGAGCTGCTGAGCCATGTATGATGGAGCATAAGGATGTGTGGGTCTGTAATTTCAAAATAATCCTCAACATATTTAAGTAATTTGATTAAAAGCTGGATTTATGATTTCAGTGGCATACTTTAATCATCCACCTAAATAGTCAAGAGACTTATTGCTGCTTGTAATGTGACACTAAAACTTGAATAATTAAACTTTTGTTGTTCTGTGGCAGATGTAACGAAGGACGTATTGGGCGTGAATGTGAGTGCAGCAAAGACGAAGTCCGGTCAGACGACCTGGATGCTAACTGCAGAAAACCCAACAGTACAGATATCTGTAGCAACAATGGCGAGTGCCTCTGTGGCACCTGCGAATGTAAGAAGCGGGAGAATCCTGCAGAAGTCTACAGTGGCAAGTACTGTGAGTGCGACAACTTCAACTGCGACCGCTCTGGCAACTTGCTCTGCGGAGGTAAGGGTTACAGAAGTAAACTCATTTGAAAGTATGATTGATTTAACTCCACACTGAATGTGTTTGATGCCTGTGCTCCATTAGGACATGGACGCTGCGAATGCAGGAAGTGCATCTGTGACACCAACTACACAGGCAATGCCTGTGAATGTTCCCTGGATGAATCCACCTGCCTTGCCAAGAACGGGCAGCTCTGTAATGGCCGCGGCAAATGCGAGTGTGGAATCTGCAAATGCGAAGACCCCAAATTCCAGGGTCCGACATGTGAGGTCTGTCCGACCTGCCCCGGTGTCTGCACTGAGCACAAGTGAGTGTGAAGCTTTCATCTTTGGCTGGAGAAACAACATATAGAAATGTAAAGTCTGTTTTAACATGTAAGCTTAGAAGTTGTTTGCCAAACTGAGTCATGTGATTTATGATTAAATTCTAGTTAAAAGCCAAAAGATTTATCTTTGATTTTTAACTAGAATTTCATAACAAATCATCTCAGAGACTATAATAATTCATAGTCATTAAAACTTATTTGATACACATTACAAAACAATTCAAGGAACACTTAAAAAAACAAAACAAAACACATCAGGCAGTTTACAGGACGCCAACAAGGTTCTGCCTGGGTCCTTGTCACTGGGAGCCTTTGGGTGTGGAGTTTCATGTTTTCCCAGTAATTTCATGAAATCTTCCAGGTACCTGCGTTTCCTCCCAGAGACGTGCTTGTGATTCTAAATTAGATGATGTGCTATGACAAAACAAACTCTGTGGAAGAAATGCTGTTAGTTTTAGTTCATGTCTTTAGTTTTAGACTTTGTCAATAGAGAGGCCTTTATGTTTAAGCCGGGGATGTCTGTATGACCGAGGCTCTCACAAAATAAATGCCTTTTAATTCCTGTTCTGAACTGACACTAAACATTTTCAACAGTAAAAACTAAAATGAACAAACTCACTGTGGAAATTAACCCAAAGTACAATAAATCAAAAACAAAATGTAAAACTAAGAGTTAAAATTAAGAGTTCTCACTGTATTAAAATGATCACATCATCCTTTATCTAAACTGTTAGATTTTCACTCGTTTTTTTCATGTGTGGCAGTTCAGACCTGACGACTGTTTTCCAGCATGGCGGTTATAATGTCTGGCGTCTCGAATATAAAACACTGTGGTGAGTAAACCACGCTGTGCTTCCACAGAGATTGTGTGCAGTGCAGAGCGTTTGGGGATGGCGAGAAGAAGGAGATGTGCCAAAAGGAGTGCAGCTACTTCAACCTAATAAAGGTGAAGGACCGAAAAGATCTACCTCAGCCCACAGACCAGAGCTTCCCCCTGACCCACTGCAAAGAGAAGGATGCCAACGACTGCTGGTTCTACTACACCTACGCCATCACCAAGAATTCCACCAAGGAAGTCTTTGTGGTAGAGAAACTGGGTACGGTCACACTGAGCTGATTTTGTCTGATCATCCTTTTACTTGCTTTCTGTTTATTGTTACAAAAGCAGATGCTTAGACAGTTTAATATTTCTACTCTTGGCTCTCTTTGATGTAATTGAGACTGGATTATTCATAGGTCTTATATAGGTTATCACTTCTGTGCTATATATAAGCACAGAAGTTTGCTTTTAGATTTGGAAAATAATCTCCAGCAATATCCTAAAATATCATACCCAAGGGAAAGAAGATGAGATGGCAAATCTTCCCTAATTTTAAGAAATCAAGAAAATAGCCATTAATATCAATGATTACTTATTTTCTGTTTATGATAATTACATTTTTGTTCTTTATATGAGCAACCGTTTTCATTGGGTGTCTTTGCTTTCCTTTTCGGTTAGACTGCCCGTCAGGACCTGACATCATCCCCATCGTGGCAGGTGTGGTAGCGGGCATTGTGCTCATCGGCCTCGCACTGCTGCTCATCTGGAAGCTGCTCATGATCATCCACGACCGCCGAGAGTTCGCCAAGTTTGAGAAGGAGAAGATGAACGCCAAATGGGACACGGTGAGTAGTAGAACCGCATCATCCACAGCACTAAATGACAGAGCGGTTCACTCGGGTTTATGCTTTAAAGAAATTTACCATGCTGAAAGAGCTCGAGTTATTTAAGCCATTGTGTCACAGTCCGCAGGTTAAATTTGGTATAGAAGGAGGCTGCTTGTTTTAGATGGTGAGAGTGTTATAAGATACGGATCATTTTAGACTGAGACTTATGCAGAGCTACTCCAGTAGAGCTAGAAGCTTCAGTAAAATGAGTCCACTTTAAACTGTAAGTGTTAAACAAAAAGATGAGTGTAACTTTACAGATTTTTCCAGGATTGTGCATGTGACAAAGCTCTCTAGGCAAATATGTGAAGTAATCATGAGGATATGCCTCTCACTGTGTGGCCTGTACTCAGTCCTCAATGAACCCCAGCTCTATGCAGTTGTGTTAGTTCTCTATTCACTGAGGGCAGGGAGTGGCCTTTTCTCTGCTGCTGGTGCTGCCACTCGCCGTCCACATGCCACAACTGCATGACCATAAAAGGCAACGGAGCAGAGCGAGGAAGCCTGCAGAATGACCACTGATGGAAAGCTCAGCAGCAGCTGCTGCTCAGTGTGAGGCAGTTACAGCAGCAGTGTTTACAATTTGAAGGGAAAAAGCAGAACACAAATCACAGCCAGAGGACTTTAAATACTATTATTTACCATATTACAGACACACAGTAGATGGCTTTGAATTTCTTCTGATAAACATGTCATGAAGTGGACTATGTTACAGTCAGTCGGGTTTTTGTTTTTTTTAATGGTATTCAAGTCTGTTCTTCCTAGTTTCAGCAAACCTTTTTAAAGAAAATTAGTTTTTTAAGATTTTATTTTATTAAATGTTTTGGCAACACAAGTGGAACCTATAAGGAAGAAGAATAGATATAAAAACCGTTTTAAAGAAAGTAGGAAACAAACTACTAAACAGAAACTGTGCAGCACTAATGACTGGTAGTAATAATTACAATGCTAATTAGTTACTATAATGTATTGCCTTCTTAGACTGTTTTCTGTCCTTTCCAGTGCTTTTCCTGATTCTCTCCATTTCTTTCTTCAGTTTTTTCCATTCATCTTCCTTCTTTTTCTTGTTAGCAAGGGAACCCCATATACAAGAGTCCTATTAACCAGTTCCACAATCCCAGCTATGGGAATAAAGCCGCTGCCCTTTAGGTCAAAGTTTGTATTGCTCCTTCTTGCATGAGTGCAGCAGTGAAATAAGTTTAGTGACCGCATGTTGTGAATTTATATGCGTGTCTAACCATAAATTTATATCCTGGAAACATTGGAAAGCAGATTTATTTTCACATTTGGTGATTAACGTGTATCTCTGTGGGAAAACTTTCTCCTATAAACATAAAAAAGCAGCTGCATCATCTACAAACAGGCAAAGCTTAAAACAGCACATGTGAAAACAAAAACCGGAACCTCTGCCCTGCTACAACACCCTGGACAGATCGCCGCTTTGTTGCAGAGCTAACATGAGAGGCAGAACCATTCATGCTCACTTTTTACATATACTGTCAATTAACCTAACTTCATGCATGCCTTTGTGTTGTGGGATGAAGCTGGAGTACCCCACACAGAGAACCCCAGAGCAGATTTTAACCCAGGATCTTCTTGCTGTGATGTGACGGTACTAACCACAGCCCTATGCTGCCCGACCCAAAGAAAAACCTCCAGGGAAAATGGAGTTTGCATTGTCAGCTGCTTTTAGGACAGATGAAAAAATAAACATAAAGCTGTCAGGAACTAGCTCAGAGTTCCAACAAGAGGGAAAGCACAGTTTAATTAAAAAAGGAGGCCTTTTTCTTCAATTAAATTAAACCTACTACGGTAAATAGTTTAAAAAGGATACTGTCAGTATTTTGAGTGTGTGGACCCGCTTGCTAGGGAAAACAGAGGTTCAAGTATCAATTTGTAAGCAGCTGGCACACAAACATGAAAAGGTTCAACGCATGTTTTCCCTGTTCTTTTGAGTGCTGTGTCTCAGTGATGCATTTACTGTGTTTGCAACGGTTTACTCACTTTTCTTTCTCTTTTCTTTGCATTTCTCAGGGTGAGAATCCGATCTACAAAAGTGCCGTAACAACTGTCATCAATCCAAAGTACGAGGGCAAATGATGGAGCTTTGCCTACTTCGTGACAACACTGTATGGAAAAGAAAACGGGAGGGGCGGGTTTTATAATGCTCACTGTCTTTGTTTGTCTGTTTGTTGTTGTAGCCACCAAATAATAGCATTGCATTTTGCGGCTCCGTTCTATTAACTTTTGATCTTCTATGCATCATCTGTAATTTGTACAGTATGTATAAACGTGTGGTTTTTACGTTTTGGTTTTGTTGAGAGAATTTTTTTTTTTGTTAAATAGAAGCCATCAGTGTTTCGATGAGCGGTTGAAATGAATGTTGATAATGGACAGTAAAGGAAGGGTTTCTTTCCAAATTAGCGTGCATGCATACAGTGCAGAGTAGGAGGCAATCAGTGTTTCAGAAACAGGCATACAACAGTTTTACTGTGTCTTTAATCATTTTCAATGAGTGGGCGTCTCTTTGGATCGAGCCCTTCAGATGTAGTGCCGGGTTTGGCAGCAGCGGGGTGTGTACAGGAAGTGTTTTTGTTTTTTTGTTTTGTTTTTTTTGTTTTCCTGTGTTCTGTGTAAAGCCATACATGTATTCACAGAACAGAGCTGGGGGTGATGGTATGTTTGTTTTCAAAGTGACATAATCCATCTGAACAATCATTTTTATTAAATGTGTCTTTGTGGAGAAAAGATTTTCTTGGGTTGCCTTACCTGATGAAGGGCAGCGGTGTACAGTAGTCTTACTGTTCAGCTCCAGGTTTTACTTGCTTAAATTAAAGCCAACTCAGGTCCTTTTATTCTTCTCAGCAATGCCAAATACACACAATTCTGCCTTATTTGCTGACTAAATTTGCTTATATTGTTTTTATTTGTACAATGTGAATGGGGGGCAAGTGTCCTGTTTTACATCTGAGTTACTACACCTAACTCTTTCAGAGGTGCCTCGATCAAACGTGCTTAATTAAAAAGAAATGGGGATGATGAAAAAAAGAGGATTGATAAGAGAACTTTTGGAAGGCTATGCCTGTCATCAACGTTTAAGTGCCTTTGTTGATTTCTCCATCACATTCACAATTGCGATTCTGTTTTCTGGAATTATTTATTGAATAAACCCCTAAAAAAAAAATGGACCCATATTGTTAAGTGTCATTGTGTATTTGCTGAAGATTTGATGCAGTGGAAACTTACATCATGACGTTAAAAATGACAAGATGACGCACCAATGAGAAATGTGGATGGTTTTGTTTACAGGCATAACAACAAGACTGTAGGTATAGCAGTGGGTAGTGTTCTTATTTTATTTGTTTACATTATGAAATTATCAAGCATTTAAATGTTTTATCCTGTTTAATACAAAAATAATCAAAGTACTATATAGTAATATAAGTTAAAGTAATACAATTAAAATGCATGCAGTATGCATGATTAAACTGCCCTACTTTACAGTAATGTAAGAGAAAAATGGGGGGGGGGACAGAAAATAAGAGAGATAAACATGTTTGACCATTTTTTTTTTCTGCAGCAGTAGAGTTGCTGTTGCTTCATTTCATGATTTTTTTTTATTTTTTATTTTTTGAATACCAGGTGTCTGGTATCAAAGAAGAAAAGGGAGAAAAATCCCTTGTTTTGTTTTTGTTCTCTGTATTCAAAGATATTCTGAATGTATGAAAACAATTCTTAAAAAGAAACTCAAGAGACTTGTTGAAGTCATTGTTTATGTATTATGTATTACAGACATTCCTTTACAAAAATTAAAAAAAAAAATCGTAAGAATCGCATAGCTCAAAATATATGAATGCATTAGCAAAATAGTTCAATAATTAAAAAAATAAGTAGGGAAAAATGGATTCGAATAAAAGTTCAGTGAGTAAAACTAAATAAATAAATCACTGATCAAATCAATTTAAAATGTAATAATCTAAAAACCTCAGTCATACAGAATAGAAATATTTTTTTGCTATTCTACGTTTAGCATATCTTTCTTTTTTTGTATATAGCTTTATTTGCTTTCATTTTATACTTTTATTTGTTTATTTTAGCATGTAAATCGGCTACAAGCTAACGCTCGTCGTGACGTCGCCAGCCAATCACGTTGCACTCCATCCCCGTGGAGCGTGACGCCTTGAGTCGGGTGCTCTCCACAGGTGATTGGTGGCCTCGGCGGGCCAATCAGATCGCGTCGTTTACAGCAAAGTTGTTAACCCCCAACAGTAGCACTTTGGTTTCCACCTCTCTAGTTTCAGCCAGCTTTACATCGACATGGACTTTTCAGCAGCCAAAATAAGCCGTTTTTTGGTAGATCTACACCGGACAATGGCTCTGCCTGCCCGGACACCGGCGGACCGACCGGCTTTTATTATGAAGCCAACTAGAAGAAGTAGCTGTGGCTAACGCCAGTGGTAGTTGGGTGCCTCTGTGGCTAGCTGCGTCGTGTTGCCTGTCGTTTTTTTTTTTAAACTTCTGACTTGCAGAAATATTGCCCATCTATTTATAAATCCCCGACGTGTGACCGATGGTCGACTTGGTGAGTATTTTTCTGCAATGTTTTTAACTTGAATCGATGGTCGCCTGGAAAAAAGGCCCATCGTGATTAGTGTTTTCTGGCATCAGATGATTTCATACACGCAATCAAATTCCTGGCTGGTCAGCTGGATGCGATTCAGCATTAAAACCACAAGTTTCTAATCACTTTGCCACCTCCCGAAGCTAGGAGACCGTGATATGGATCGATATGTTCGGATGAAACGTTTATTGTTTTTATAAAACAAAAAAAATCTAATACTCTAGTTGTTACAGTTAGGTGGAAAAATAAGATGTCGGAAATCTGATCGGGGGTATTTGAGGGGGGTAAGAGAACATGAGCAAAAGGTGGCTTCCTCTTTGAGAGGCTGCAGGTAATTTTTTAAATATGATTTCTTCTCTGGAATTTCCATCATCATCGTTGGAAATGTAGCACTGGGGGATCATAGGCTTTAGGGTGTGTGGCTGAACAGTGCCAGGCAGCTCCTGTGGTCTGCTAGGGAACTGCTTGGCCCTGGCCTGTATGGGTCTGGATCATAGCCTTATGCCCCACTCCACTGTATTATCTAACCTACAGTAGCTCCTTTCATAAAACACCCAGCCAGACGAAGACCTCTGACCGTCCTGGCCTGCTTGGCTGGATGAAGCTCAAATGGGAACTGCCTCATGGTGACTAGTTGTGCTGTCATTATTAGTTAATAATTAGTAATAAAGGCCTGCTTGGGATAAAAACTATGCTGGGGTTGCCTCATTTTCTGCATTAGACTGGATGTAAATCAGACGAGGACAATGTTTCTCGTGTTTTCCTGTGATTGTGTGAACTTTTTGTGGGACAAACCCCACCCACATGGCACTTTTGTGTTGTGTGCTGACCCAAAGTATGTGAGGTATGAAAGTAATGTATTTAGTTCGAGGTCGTCTCTTTTGTATTTTTTCTTTTAGATGTTTTTAGAAGTATAAATCTCAAGGTCACAAGCTTAACTTACTAAAAATATGTCACTCAAGCTCTTGTCTTTTTTGCATAACCACAGGGCAGTTGAGGCCTTGTCCTCAGAACGCCTTTACTCAAAGTTTCTGGAAATTAAAACAGATTTCAAGGCTTTATTCTCCAATACAGCTTAATTTGGGCTTGGCTAATTTGGAAAGCATCCAGCAGCTGTTATAATAACTGCATTACACAGACTTTATTCGTTTCAAAACCTAGAAACATGCACATGTCCCACTAGCCATATTTTAGTCATAACCTCATGACAGTGGCAGGCAGCATAAAAGGTGAAATATCTAAGAGAAGGAAACTATCGAGCATTGTAATATTACTGACACTGCATTTACACTTATACCAAATAAACTGCTTATAAGAAACTTTAAGAAATCATTAAATAAGGTATAAAAGTACTGACAAATGCAAGTACCTTTTACAGTTTTTTATCTTAAATGTAGCCTGCCAATTTCTTTTCAAGTAAAATCTTATAGATATAGGTTTTCATGTGTCACAGCAGGAGTCGATGACCACAGTAATGCTGTGCCTCTTAATATAAATGAATTGGGCTCGTGTGTGTTTGCGTACAGCAGGGAGCTCGGTTACAGTCAAAACAGTAGATGACACACTTCATCACGGTACAAAGCTTTACTTTGAATCCCAGATAGTTAACATTTGAGAAATAAAACTGAATTTCCTTTTAGGTAGGCACCAAAATATGCTTTGTAAATCTGATCTTTTCCCCATTACTCTTGTTTTAGACATAAATGTCAGAGTTGTTCTCTCTAAAATAGCTTCTTAAACCTTCGCTAATAAAGATGGGATTCACCAGACATCCCACAATATCATATTATCACAATACTATATTCATGTTATATTAATTAACATAGTGCAATACTCTGCACTGCACAAACATATATTATTTATCACCTTTTTTCCAAGTGCAAACTATGTCCTCAAAGTTATTGTTCTATCCAAAGATAAAGTTATCTCACTTCAATTATTTATGTTTTGTATTTGCTCCAAATGAAATTGTCAAGCATACCAACACTGTAACCAAAACCTACCATAAATGTTACATATGGAATGGGGTCACCGCAATCGGTTTCTGATAATACAGCAATTTCCAGGTATAAATCATCGAAAATCACGTAGTGTTGCTGTCCATCTAGACAAAAAAAAAAAATCACATTTAACTATTAACTTTGTGCTAAGCAACCTTCCTCTTCTATAAGAGTCAAGTTCCCTCGAATTGTGACTCAGACCGATGACAACATGATGAATTTGTCTACATTTATAGATAGCATAGGAATGATTTGCAAACCTTTGACAATGTCTCTGAGAGTGGTTGCAGCCAGTCCAAGTCAGACTGCAACTGTTTGCAGAAAGATTTCCTCCTCTTAGACGAGATGGAGAGACCTGCAAGTCCAACACGTAGATTCATCAGTGGTTAGGGATCCTTCTTGATCTAAACAAACACTTATTGTCTGTCTGCTGACACTTAACAGCGAATTAAAGGTAAGTACCTTACCTAGTTACCTTCATAAAATGTCAGCCTGCTGCGGACACTGGATGATGCCGCATGTAGTAGACATGTTTCACTGGATAAACAGAAGGGCTTAGGTCCAAAGGTGGAGGATGCCGTGACACGCCTGAGGCCTTTTGTTTACAAAGCAGGCTTTGGGGTTAACAGTGTTTTAAGAGTTACAAAGGTGATTAATTGCTTAACGGTGTAGATCACCATGGTAACATATACTGCGGCAGTAACTAGCTCCGAAGCAGGCTAAGTTTGAGATTAGAGATTAACAGGTTTTAATTCACCAGCTACTGATCAGTTAGTTCTCCAGAAAACAGAATTATTCCTGGAAATCCCTTGGACATTTGTGTGTGAATAATAACAGGTTCTAAGGTGTCTTAAGGTTTTTTTCTTTTCCTGATGAGCATTAATAATAAATATAGATTCTTAAAGAAACCTATTTCCTGGTTTTTCCTTTTGGCTAAAAACCCTTTTTATAACAATTTTATTGTTCTATATACCATGTATATGATCGTAAATCACATGTTTATACTTGTTGAACTTATATCAAATTTGCACATAGACCAAGCCTATGTCTGAATTCTGGGCCTGTGGCTGTCGTATTTAAAAAAAATTAACCTCCCCTAATGACAACCTGTTTGTCAGCTTTACATCCTGATTTCTAATAGGCTAAACTTCATTAATATACTAGATTTTTTTCCAGTCTTCCTGGCCAAAGTGGTTAAAGTACTTTGACATTCATACTTTTCCTCACACACGTACCCAAACACGTAGTGGACTCGCCTTCGGCTGTGTTACTTCCAGCCTGTATTTTGTGTTTTAACATCTTTATATTTATTCTAATACGATAGTTTTATCTAACTTTATAAAATCAGGCACACTGCTGCCAGCAAACCCGTCCATGTTTGATAAATCAAATGCTCCCAACACTGACTCTTTCACATGAACACGCTCACAGCTATGTTGTGAAACCCTGGTTTAACTTATCGAGACGATAACCCCCTTTGTGGGACTGAGTCTCCAAGTAGACTTTTTAATCAGATTGTGTTAAACAATCTTGGAGAATGTGAGAATGCCAACTTTTGAGAACAAAGGTGAAATGCAGAACTGCAGTCGCTACACAGGGACAGAGTTGATGAGCCATGACATGAAGGTATGGGAAAGACTTGTTGAAGAGAGGTGGGAACGTGTGCAGTAGGAGTGATGGATGGGTTCAGGGATTGCCTCTGAACCTCTTCTGTCTTGAACTGCTGATGGACAGATGAGGTCAGAAGTCTCTGTGAACAATGTTTACAGACAGCATTGTGATCTGTGGTGAGAGTAGGTGGAAGAGAGTCTGTAAGAGGTGGAGGTATGCTCTGGAGAGAAGAGGAATGAAAGTCAGTTGGAACTAGGGCTGCCACAAACGATTATTTTGATAGTCGACTAGTCACCGATTATTTTTGCTATTAGTCGACTAATCAGATCATCATCCATTGGACGTAAAACTACAGCTTATTGCACCAGCAGCATCTGCTCTTATATAACTATCATTAGCTTACAGCTTTAAGTGTTTCAGGTATGTGCTAACTAAAGATAAAGACAAGATGATGGTTTGTTAAACTTTTAATGAAATTTGCAGGTTGTCTCGGTGGAGTTTAATAAACTCAGCCGTCTGCTCCTTGCTATCTAAAATATAACAGGACACTGGAGTAAATTCTCGACCACCTCACACTTCTGTTTAATCAGTTTTCTGTTTGACGTTTATTCAGCTGTGAAAACTGTAACTTTAATCTCAGCCAAACTGATTTACTCAGGAACAAATAAAACACTGAACAAAGCCAAACAATACCATTTTTAAGTTATCTAACTGACTTATATATCATCTTTAACCTGAGTAGCAAAAGACCGCGCGGGTCTGAAAACGATGTGCCGGGAGTTCGGTGTTCTCGCCGGCTCCCAATCAGCTCGTCTCTGAAAACGTCGGAGCACTTTTGGGAATATGTGTTGTCTTGATAAACCTAGCAGTTATTTGAAGTTTACACAGCTACATTCTTGCCTGAAAATATCTTAAAAGTTTATTTTGTGACCTAGAAAGTGTAATATTAAAACTAAGTAGCTGCCGCCATTGTTGGAAACTGGAATTGGATGGGCCGCGCTATGAATTCTGGGATAGGTTGGGCAATGAAGGACACGCCCAACCCATGATTCAAATCTGGGGAAAAGGAGGATGCATTTGTCAGCCGCATTTGTCGGAGTCTTCAAATTTGCCTGTCACGTAATCGGCCTACAAACGCGGCCTCCAGAGGATGCGGCCACTGAATTTCGACTCAGCTACGATACTGGAAACTGCGTCTTCTTCTTTAGCCTTTAATGGCAGCTGGCATCCTTGTAGATGCAGTGCTGCCATCTTCTGTTTCAGTCCGATATTCCACTCTTGAATCCTACTACTTGTTTCTGCGTTTTTCAGGATCTTACGAAGCTTCAAACGACGCGTCGACTATTAAATTAGTCGTCGACGGTTTTGATAGTCAACGTAATCGTGATGGGTCGACTAAACGTGGCAGCCCTAGTTGGAACATGACAGAATACATGTGTGAATGAGAGGGAGATGGGTGTAACAGTAACGATGCAAGGAGCAGAGGTACTTGAAGGTAGATGAATTGAAATACTTGGGATCGACCATCCAAAGCAAGAGACGGTGCAGAAGAGAGGTGAAGAAGAGAGTGCAGGCACAATGGAGTGGATTTGGAAGAAGAAGGATGGCAGTAAGAGTGAAAGGGAAGGTTTACAACATGGTAGCATGACCTACTGTGATCTGTGGTTTGGAGACGGTGGCACTGACAAAAAAGAGAGGAAGCCGAGCGGGAAATTGCAGAGTTGAAGATGCTAAAGTTCTTGTTTAGAGGGACCAGGATTAGAGAGGCATGTCTGAGGGGGTTTAGACGTGTACAGAGAAAGGATAGTAGATATATCAGACTAAGGATGATGATTATGGAGCTGCAGATGCTGCATTTTGTGTGCTGTTGGGCAAGAATGCGGGAGTAATGTACAAATATGAAGCAGATCTTCCTGTTGGAAAATGTTCAATAAACGTGCCATTTCAGTTTAAAACCCCTTGTTGCACACAAATAAACTCCTTTTGGTCCATTTGAGTGCCTTTGTGTGTTACCCACCAACACAGCCAGGTGTAGTTGTTGGATGGCCAGACCAGGAGGCCCTTCTGACAATTACAAACAGGTGGTGGATTTTGTTTTTGCTCCACCCAGACCAACAGGATCTAAATCTCCTTTTAAACTACATGTGAAAAACTCATCAAGCGTGAGCTTTTTGACTAAATGTCCCTGCGCTGTTGTCAATTTTCTTGCAGGTCTTCATGGCACCATCTATGGATTTATTGATGAAAAGAAAACCTCAGTTCACCTGGGTGGATCCTGGCTAAGAAACATGTCACCACCATCAACAGGTAACAATGTTAAATTAATGTTGTAAGTGTTTGGGTTTTGTGTGTGTGTGTTGTTGTTGTTGTTTTTTTGTTTTTTTTTTGTGTATTTCTTTGGGGGGGTCACTTGGGTAGCATACTCAAACCATACCTTTGTGCTAGTCTTACCCTGAAAGCACCACAACTTCAGCCTGCTGGGATAAGCATGGTCACTTTTAAGCTTTTAACCGATACATATAATAATACATGCACTCAAAACGATGCACACAGTTTGTGATGCACTCACAGAGAAATGGCAGGCAGCGAGTGCCAACATGCATGCTGGTGATTTGATCCTTTGCCTGTCAGACCAGAAGAGGGCAGCGTTGTGCTCATATGGTGAGGCGTGTCACCGGGAATAAACGTTTCTGGGGTTTTTTAATGATGGGCTGTGGTCAGATCAGAGTGATAAGTTTCAGTGGATCCGGGTTGTTCTTTCTGTGTGGTTCAAAGGGACGGCTGTCTCTACCCTGTGGTGTTAAAGGCGTTGGCTGTAGTTATTTTTAAGATTTTTGTGCCTCTTGTATTGTTTATCAAAGCATAAAATACACTATAGTGAAAACTTCCAATGTATAGTAGTAATTAGTAGTATTTTTATTCATTTTCATATATGACAAAGGTTTGGGTGGAAAAAATACAATTAAATGACATTGTTTGTCATTCCTTGCCAATAAATGCAGGGCTGTTGATCAGATTGATGAGCTGTAATGAATCACGGTAGTTGTTTCAGCTCAGTTAACAGTTATCTCTGTTAGCTGCATTGGCCTGCAGCTAGTCTGTCTCTAATTTTGTTAACCAAAACGTAAAATACACTGCAGTAAGATAGCTTGTATGTCCCACAATTGGGAAATTCACTTTATTACAACAGCAAAATTAAAAGGAAAAAAAATATAGAAGAAGCAATAAAGTAACCCATGACAATAATACTACACAATAGAGAAAATGTACACCATGCAATATTAAATACCTTTTTCAAATTCATTTTATTTGTTTACAATTTGTTTACAAAGTTTTAAGTGTTTTTTCTTTTTCAAAAGTAGAAATTATTCATTATATATTAAATGCATTTTTAAATAGGGTTGTCTTTTTTATTTGTTGTGCTAAATACAGTTGGCAGTGGGGTTTTTTTTTTTGTGTTTTTTTTTTTTTTTTTTTTTTTTAACCGTAGTCCTGTTATTCTAGTAGTCCCACTTTTTATTTATGTTTTTAAAATCGCATTTTTATTTTCTTTCATTTACTATTTTATAAAGGGGGTATAGAACAACTTTACTTTTGTCATTTAATTTATTTATTTGAAAATTTATTTCGTTTTAGTTTACGATATACATTTCGGCCATTCCCGGTGCTTATTTCAATAATTTATGTGTATGTGTGGAAACGGAGTTAGTTTGCAAGAAATACCCCCTTCCCCCTACCCCCGCAACGCGCAAGCGCTCGGGACTGTGTGGGAATGGTCGGTCCACGAACTGGGGGTTGGACCGCTCCGAGCGAAACAGAGCAAACGAGTTTTAAATGTCCGCCATGTTGTCCATGGCGCACTGAACCAACGGTAGGGAGCGGAGCGTCGGAAAAAAACAGTCCGAGAGAGAGCGACCAAGATCCGGGCCTTCCCCCGGCTCCGTTGGCGACGCCCTAAATACAAGCTACAACCATTCGAACGTTAGAATAGAGACTAACCGCACAGAAACATCCATGAAAGCTCCACTCGGTACCGTTGTGAATATTAGGAGATCGGATAGATTTATATTGCACCTCGAATTGTGAAAAATGAGTAAATTGTCGTTTCGGGCACGGGCGCTGGACGCTTCCAAGCCACTACCCGTCTTCCGTTGTGAGGATTTACCCGACCTACACGAATATGCATCAATTAACCGGGCAGTACCGCAGATGCCGACGGGGATGGAGAAAGAAGAGGAATCGGTATGCTTTAACCGTTTGAAAATATGAATTTATACGTTTTGTTTCATTTTTAGGCGATCACAGGCGTCCCTCTTTTTTTCTGCGCAAGCTTTCACAAAATGGCCGCCAATTTTCTCAGGAGAAACACGACGGTTTTGTGCCGCAAACGACTCGTATACGGGGCTCGGACGGATTTTTGGGCTAAGCGGGGATTCTTTGTGTCGTTATTGGATAAAATTGTCCGGTTTGACCGGCATATTTGTGCGTGAGGTGATTTTCTGAGTACAAAGGAGTCATGTGACCTGAGCGATTCCGACATTTTGTCTCGTCTGTCAGGACGGGGCCTTGTGTTGGCGTAATTGCAGCGGACCAGGGCAAGGGGGAGCTAGTGATTTCAGATTATGTGGCATCTTTGCTACCAGCAGTCAGAAATGTCAACAAGGCGGCCATGCATTGGAGAAAACACAGCGGTGTTCGTTTTGCATTGACTTGATGTAAATGTTTGCTTGCTGTTTTCCTGCACAGAGCCTTGTGTGTCATGAATGCAGCTGCCGGTGCCACATTTTTATGATGATTTCTCCGTACGGCGAGCCCGGCTCGTTATTAGTATGGACGCTGTGGGTTTGTTATTATATGTTGTTGCAATTAAGTTATTGCATGTGCAGCAATCACACAGGTAAATCACTTATTGTCACTCTAACCAAGAAGATACTTCTCTGTAATATGTTAATGATGTCGATTTTCCAGAGGTGCTGTCACCGGCATCTCTCATTGCAATGTGGTCATATTCTGTTATGCATAGAAGGAATATTTAAACATCAAAATAAACCAGAAAAGCTCGTTTAAATTACCTAAAAGTGCTTTGGTTCATATGTTATCATTTTCGTGTAAGTAAATGTTGCAAAATAAGATTGGGACTTTGTTGTGCAACTTTTTGTGTTTCCTGTTACTCCACAGTTAAGCCACTGTGGGATGAGCATCTAAATGGTTATGTGCATTGATAGTTGACTCATGAACTCATGAAAGCTTGCAGATAATTGTTAGAGAAAGTATTTCTAGTTTGATCTCCCTGCAAGTAACTTAACAAATTCTGCTTCCTGTTGCATCCCACAGGGCTGTTGTGATTATTTCAAAAATAGGGGGGGGGGTTGTAAAGCACATGCACCCTGTGGGATTTCTTTTTCCTGTTCTTCGCTTTTTATGTAATTTACTATGCAGTAGTCTGACACAGCAGTGCTCTCATCCCGGGAGTATTAAACAATATATCTGCTTCTCTGAGGAGTCTGCTACACAGCTTACCCAGCAGTCTTGCCTGATGTTTAAATATAAGGTTGAGTACACGAGGGGGATATCGCTACAGGGATCTGTGTTGGATACTTTTTTCCCTAAATTATTCAAGCAAAGTGTGTTGCAGCCGGTGTTGTGGAGGCTCGGTGTCAGGGGTTCAGTGTGTCAGATGGCACAGCGGGCTGGCAGACCAGCGCACGTGGCGCTCCAGAGGAGATCAGGGTGGCAGGAAGGAGGAAAGAGGAGGTGGGGGTTGCTGTCACTTCAAAGTCTGTGCTCTGCTCAGCTGGAGTGCTTGGTTATGTAACAGTCATATTATCATAAGAGGTAGGCCAAGGCCTGCTGCGTGCCAGCCGCTCTGTGTTGGGAGCTGTCTGTTATGAATTCTGCATCAGACTTTAGATGGAAATGTATTTTGAGGTGTTGTTGTAGTTGCTGCTGCTGGTGTGTATTTTTAGCTTTTGTAGGAGCACATATTATTTGTTTTAATTTGCACAGGGATGCGTGGTCCCTTTTTCTTTTTTTCCTCCCTTAGCGATGTGCTTGACCCAGTGAAAGCAAAAACTGCATTTATTTTCTGCAGTCTGAAAGTGTTCAGAGGAAGCATCAGCTTTGCATGTTTCACTCAGGACCATTTAAGCCAGACTATGCAGTGCTGGGTAGTCTGACACTCTAATAGAAAGATTTCTGAAACGAGCAGGGAGACGCTGCATAGTATGTTCAGCATAGCCAGATTTTCTCTGGCTCCACGTGGGCCTCCTTGGAGGGTAGTGACAATTTGTTACCCGAAATCACCGTTGGATGCACAAAACTTAATTTTATGCTTGAGTAAATTCAATGCTCAATACAAACAAGTTGTTTAAAAATTCAGTCCTGGTTATTTTTCTTCTGGACAGCACCAAAATTATTCTGCTGTGAGGGTGGAAAAAACCCAACTCTGTTAATTATCCTGACTCAACAAAGCCTAAAAGCCCAGTCGCAGGTGACGGGCATCACAGCAGTAACTGATATCAACTTTCTCTGTTAACCCAGGCTGTCTGCTCCAGGCTCTTTGCACACACTCATAAAAGCGAGTGGTTGATGCATCATTTGCTGCTGCTTCTGCACAGTCGGGCACCGTCAAGTGAACAGGTTGTGGAGGTTATAAAGATCAGTCTATAAGAAAAATGACATTAAAGCAGTGTTGCAGAAAATGATTGATATTGTAAATTTATCAAGCTACAGCTTCCCATTTATTGCACCTTCCCCCCTCTCTCTCTTGTACATTAGAGCTTTGAGACTTTGTACATTTAAACATGAGTGCATTGGGATTGACTCGGTCTCATAGCTCAGTGGAAGTGGTGTGGAAATCACTCTAGGTTGTAGCCAGTGAAATGGTTTCACAGATTCAATATTCTTGGTGATAAATGACCTTGAAATAGACGAAGCATTCATCTTGTTTTTTATTAGCTGCATTTCCAGCAGGAAAACATACCAGGTAGCAGATAGGATCAAGCATTAAAAACATTTTTCCTGCGCTGCTTCCTTCAGTGATGCTGTTCAATGTATGGCTCAACAGTTTAAATTTATACAATTCTGAGCAGAGACTGTACCTCACTAAGAGTATACTGAAAATGAATTGGTATACGCTTAGTGAAATCTGGCACATCAGGAAAGTTTTAAACTGAATTGTCAACTTTCCTTTACTTTGCACCAGCTCGTAACTTAAGCAAAAGTTAAGAGAGCTGAACTCATGGCATTGAGAACTCACAACTTTGCGCTTCCATGTCCATCTTTCTGCTCAGCTTGGGCAACGGGACACCTCGTAACGCTTGTAACCCTGCTTGGCACACGAATAGTCAACGCTTTCAACCGTCGTATCTCTGTCCAACAGGCCGGTCTCTGCGTGTTTGTGTATTTCTGGTAGCGTAGATCTACCAAAGAGCTGTCACTGCTGAAATTCCCTCAGCACATGTAGCGTGTTTGTTTTGGAGCCAGACACTTCGTCTTGTGTTTACGTTTGGGTGAAAGTGAGGTCAGTGTCTGCAGCCCTGCTGGGAACCCACAGGCATCTGTTTTTGCCTCTTTTCCAGACACGCTTCTTGTACATACACACAGCCACATGCTCTGGCGGGACACCAGGTTTTTTCTTTTTTGTTGCTTGTGACCTTGCTGGGTGGGAAAGTGGGGCATGTCACCTGTCCAAAGTCTCTGCTGGCTCCACGATGTCAACTAGATAGCTTCCTGCGTCAGCTGTTTCACTTTCCGTTTGACTGTTGACAGATTGGTTCTGGACGTGTTTGTGCACCAGGTTCCAGGAAGGGTTTTCAGGCCAGTGAGTTGGCAAGTTTGCCAGATGGGTTACAACTCCTGTGGAATTGCTCACTCTGTGACCCATTAATTAAAGAATGAGTGTGTAAACTATACATGTAAACCAGGGCTGCTCAGTTCAAGAAAACAGTCAAACAGCGTATATACAGTTGCTGTGTGCATTTACAGTCCTGGCTTAAAATTGTCATTCAAGGGATCTAAGCATGATCAGTCCATGTACAGTGGCAATGAGTCTGGTTGATGGAAATCTTTGCAGTTTCCTGTTAGTTCTGCCTTTTTTCTGTTTGGTTTTCCTCCCCTCCAGCTGACTTTAAGGGATTTTAACACTAATCACATTGTGAATGAACCAAAACATGATTTAGATGCTGCTAAAATGTATAGTGCTGTGCATAACATTGGTGTGACAATTTTCAGAGCATGGCTAACAGTAGCTAGCGGCTTTATTTTAACACTGCACATAACTTGTTTGTCATCTTCTACAAGCTTTCTTGTCCGTTGGGGACAGTCAACATCTTAAGTCTGTATCTTCCCTGTTTTTCACTGTTTGTCAACCTAACCCGACCTCTGTACCTCGGGTAACACGAGCCAGGAGGTACCAGTCATTTACATCAACTAGCCCACATTCACAAACCCTCCTCGCTTCTCTACTTTTCTTTATTAATGTACTTCCAAAGCAGAGCTATATGTTTACTAAGTCTAACTAAGTTAGAAAATGGTCTGTCATCATTAGATTTAAACTAACTAGCTAATTCTCTTCTAACTAAACCGTGTAACCTCTCTTTACGGATTCCTGAAAACCAAACTTCATAATAACGTCTGGGCACAGCCACACTGATCATTTTATTTGAGTAGAAAGAATTTGGATGATCTGTTATTTTCGGTGGGGACTCATTGTAGAGCATTTGGATCTGCGAATGGCTAATGACGTCAATGGTAATCCCCGGAAGGTGACTATGCACATTTTAGACTGGGGTTGGTAAATTATCACAGCTTTATTAACTTATGAGGCTGCATTCAAGTTGCAAAGACTTGGATCGTCTTATAAAATTGGCTGAATTGGAGTGAATCAAAGGTCTGGACCGAGGCAAATTCTCTCCCCATTTCTTTTAATGTGTGAAGCGGGATGGAAAGTTGCTCAGTTAATTGCTTGTTACTTTACAAACTGCCCCACAGAGTTTGAATTGACGAACTGTGGAGAAAAACCCAGGCTCGTAGCTGCCATTACTTTCCCACCTCTTTTACTCTTGGTGTTGAATATCGTTCTCTCCCACACACGCTGCATAAAACTGCTTTTGTACTGTGGCTAAGCATCCCTCAACAGCCTCTTACTAGACTGTCCCTTGCGGCTGTCCATCATGTTAAGTGGCATTTACAGTGTCGGGGACAGTAGCTGTCAGAGGCGAGACTGGAGAAGGTGGAGGAGG